TCCTGCAAATAGAAGTAGAATGACTGTGGCAAAAGAAAGCATAGTACCAATTGTAATAGGTGCCTTGGATGCAATCCCAAAACATCTGGAGCACCACTTGAACGCCATCAGCATTGACAAAATCATCATCAGTCAATTGCAAAAGGCAGCTTTACTTGGAACAGCTTACATCCTGCAACGATACCTTTAACACCATCACACAAACTTCTGTCTATCCCAGGTTCTTGGGAAGGACCTGATAGGTAGATAAAAATGCCAAATCCAGTCTAAACATCTGGCTGACTCTGCAACCAACAACAACAATAGTTTAAAGCTGATCTTGAAACCATATCCTCTTATCTTGGAAAATCTCTCTAAACCTTTCCAATCTGTGGGTGGGTTACTGTTACCAGGGAATATATATATACTGTAAACTGTAAAAAACACATCTAGCAGTGGCCGGACAATGAACCTGTATCTCAGGGGCCAGATGATGTCAAAATCCTACGCCTCATTCTTCCATGGTGCCTTTCTGAGATTAATCTGAGATGATGGAATTTGTAGTTGCTAGCCCAATGTTGCAGAAAAAAGCACTATAAGACTTGGGTCATAATGCTAATCTGGTGATAGGGCTGGAAGCTTCTAACCCTACTGTAGAATTTAGAATTTTGGGAGTAGGGAAGAGCAGTTCAAAATCATTTTTTCCTCCCTGGGAGTTCTCACTGTCCTCAAGTTTCTGTTGCCAACTATGGAATTAAATTTCCAGCATCACATATAACCAATATTCCCATTGGTCTTCAGATTGCTATTTGGTTAGAAAAGACAGCACGAGTGAAATTTAAAATGGAAACGCTACCCACATTGTGCTGATAAAATGCAAATGCTACAGAAAAGTAAAGAATTGCTTCCGTCACAATTGCAGTCCTACCTACACACCACAGGGGATGTGACACTTCTCCCACTATGGTTTTTATACTTTTCTTTTTCTTTTTTTCTTTTTTTCTTTTTTGAGGAGGAGGAGGAGGAGGAGGAGAACTATAGTACACTGCTGTGAATCAATAAGCAGAGGTGAAAGAGAAAGCAGAGAGAGATTCCATTGTGCTGTAGCCTCTTTGCAGCAGCTTATCTAGCTTGGTCCTAAAATATTCATGTCTCAAAATCAATTCTTTATGTAGTGATTTTAGAGTCTTTACATATTTGTTCTTTACACATACACACACAGGAAAAAAATACATTTATTTCAGAAATAAATATTCACGTAGTTTATGGTGCATTTAGAGATGCTTCTAGACAGTCAGCTCCTAGTATAACCCCTCTGCCCAATGTATGTGCAGCTCTTCTTTTTTAATTAGCCAATCTTTTATATGATTAAACAGAAAAAGTAGGGAGAAACCAAAGGAGGTTACAAACAAAAGATGGTAATATCTGAATCCAAACTAACAGACATGCACTTAGAGTACCACTGTTATCCTATACATGTTTCTTTGGAATATAATACAGCTTACTTCTGGGCAAAGCTGCACAACATTGTTCTGTAAGATCTCCCTCTGTGTGTGTGTGTGTGTCCATTTGCACGTAAATGTGCATTTCTGAAAAGGATCATGCACACACTCCCCTCCATCCAGGCAGAATCCTCTCCCACTTGAAAACCAAATGGTACAAAGTGGAAGAAGGCAAGAGCAGCAGGGAAAACATGGACTGGAAAGAATCTCCTGTTGTTTTATGTCGTGAAAGGCAAAAATTAAAGCAATAATTGGCCATCGAAATAATTTACCAGGTTGAAAAGAACAAGCTTTGTGGTACCCATATGCAACTCCCATTCATTCTAAAAAGATTTATACAGAAACTTTCTGATGACGTCCAAGGTCCCTAAGTGTAAGAGACTTCCGTTCATTTTAATGCACAGATTTTTTTCAGTGATTCCTACTTTGGCTAAATAGTGCTTCAGACCGGCTGAACTTTGCAATGTTAGTGTTTCAGTGGACATACAAAGATTTTGAGCATGGGTTTTTTTTTTAAATGAAGAGAAGGACTTCTGCTTGCACCGACAGCAGTGTTGCTTTATAGGAGTCATTGAAGGAAGCATTGATGGGCCTGAGTTCCACGTGCAATATTATAGTACACACATGTTATAGTATATACTCTGCACATGATGGAAATCTTTAAGTGTTTTTCATTACATCCTTAATACAGTGAACTTTTTTTCAATCTGAGGCTCAAAAAGAGGAAGTGCAATGGTCTTGATCTATTTTTAAAATCCACTTCCTATTACAAGAATAAAATAGAACACTGTAAATACTCATGTTTTCCTTTACTACCATTCTGATAATATTGATACGCACTTCACATGAACAATCTGAGTAACCTTTACAAGCATTAAGGTAAGTCAGTGGTATTAATATACTTACTCAAAGACCCTGAATTTGAGACCATCTTCACAGTAGAGTAAACAGAAAAAAAATTATGAGCACAGGGAAAAATGTGCCCAGCTTCTCCACCTTGTCTATCTATGGTTGCCAACCCAACTCAAACCAGGCTTGCAGATCCCCCCTTGTGTCCAATAAATGTGCCCATGTGACATACGTGGAGATGTATATGCATATATTATTCATTCATTTATTTATTTGTCTACCTGGATATACCATGCACTGTCTAAATCTCTTAACAGTTTACAATAAAAAAACTGAAAACAATCCACTAAAACAAAATAGCAATTAAAACCCATAAAGAACATAACACTAATAAAAATGATCATTAAAAATTAACAATTAATTAACAATTAAAAGCCTGTTTAAAAAAAGTGTTTTATAAATGCTAATAAAGATAGTATGTCTCTCATCTCTGCAGGAAGTGCAAGGGTGTATATTCCTGTGCATACCTGCTACAAGCCATACCCCCCATAAGGGCCAAGCCAGGATAAAAAGTAAATACTTATTAATTCAGTTAGTCACCCATTACAAAATATCCCATACACATATATTAACCATCCTTGCTTTCAAACCAAAAGTGTTCTCACGCCCAGAAACTCATAATTATACATACATTCCCCTATCTTTTTCTAGCAGAAAGAGCAAAGAAAGAAAAGAATAAACAGGATGGAAATGGGGCAAGAAGAAAGGGGAACTGCTGTGGGAAGAAAATAAAAGAGAACTGGGGAACAACGCTGGGTGGAGATCAAGTGAGGGGAATTGATAATTGACAAGGAAGGAAAAAGTGAGAGCAGCTCCCTTGAGATGCTACAAAAGGGGGTAAATTCTGCAGGCAAACAGGTCCTCCCAAGAAGAAGCTAATCTTCAAAGGCATCCAGAGTAGCTTTGCAACAATGTGTGCCTCATGTTAATTCTCCAACAGCTTCTTCTGTTCTTACTGATGAATGTAAAATGACCACCACCTCCATTTCTATTCCCAGGTAAGGTATCACCATATTACATGCCTGTAATGTAAAGCCTGGGTGACTTAAGTCTGCCCATGAGCTGTGAAGGAAAGATCAGAAAACCTCATCTGATCTAGCACATTATATTCCCCAAGGGCAACTACTGCACGTTTCCTCCTTTTAAAAGGTGCTTCCTCTTCGGAGCAACTTTATAGGATGTTTTTCCAAAGGTCACATTTCAAACAGGTGTTTCCGGTGTTTCAGCTAACAGTTCTTAACCGCTAGACTGCACTATTTTCCTTATCAACCCTTTTCATGTTAGTACCACCATGATCATCATCATTTTTTGCCCTAGTCCATTGGAAGCCAGCCCAACCTCTGAGTGAATGAGATGTTGGACTCAAGTAGGAAGCATCAACAGTACAAATTCTGTACAACTCATCTCTACATTTGTTATTACTGGCACTGACATTTTGTTGGGTCTGGTACTATACAGTAATGCACAGCTTAAGGAACATACATTGTAAAAATGGGCATGGCAACATGTATCTCATAGTAATCTTATTGATATCTTGCCTTGAGATGCCTTTTTCTTTCTACTTTCATTAGCTTTCACAAGGTGTAATTAATTTGATGGCTGGAAAAGGAGGGAGGCACCTACAACCTTGACCACATTGCAGATGCCACAGACATTGGATAGCACAGAGAGGGTGCTTCCAGATATGCCTTTTATCAAGTAATTGCTGTGCCTTATTTGTAGAACTTGAGAAGAGGTTCAGAGAATGACTTCAGATTGTAGCCCTCCCTCACCTCTTTCGTTCT